ATCAAATTCAAAGTCATTGACAAAGGATGCTGTCGGAGTAAGCCATATCAAACATATTAATCAGTAGGCGGAACTATGGTCAAGCGTACCCATTTTCGGGAACGCATTTTCGTTCCCATGTTTGGGAACGATAAACCCAAATATGGGAACGCCATGTAGGAATTATTTAAAACAAGAAAAAGAACCGTTAAATGACGTCCAAAAAATATAAAACGATCGTGAACCGCCTGATATTTGTCTCAATATTGTTGCGAAAGAGTTCGATATTGTAAGGCCCATCGTAGTTTCAAATCGTTCCCCTATTTCTAAAGCAGTCCATCATCCGGGCCGCGAACCCAAATTTGGGAACGCTCTCGTACACTGGCGCTGCAAGCGTTCCTTATTATGGGAACGGCGTACCCAAATTTGGGAACGATTTCAACGACGCCTTTCAGGGGCTCTTTTCATTAACAAGCATCACGTCCAACGCCGCAAATTATTGTTAACACAACAATCATCAGATGACCTTTCCGGCAAGAGCGTCGCATGTTTCGCCCGGTCTTCTGCGCTTTTATTCCCGTCGATCTCGCAGCGGGCACGCCCCCCTCTGCAGGATTATGTAATTCACAACGCTCAGCGATGTTCAACAAGGTCTTCCATACCTATATCCACCGTCCGCGCCGAGGGTGGAGACATGTCAAGCACCTGTCTGTTTATCACCGATAGTTGACGAGCACAAGGAAGTATCCAAAAATGGGAACGCTGAATATGTTACACCCTCAAAACACCTAGTCCCATGGAAAATCTAGTTTTTTCCTTTCTTCCCGCGCCCGGCTGGGGGTCCTGGATTTCCACGCCCTGCTGGGGGGGGGGGGTGTTTGAACACCCCCCTTGTAACTCGGCTCCTGGGCCACGTAGCGATACGCGGAAGGCGGCGTTCGAAAGAGCGTCAAAAATAATGACGAAATCACTTCGGTCAATTTCTTGGTCAGGTCAAAGGTCAGGTCACCAGAGGTCATTGAAGGCAAAATTTCGCCGATTTCCAGGTCGAATGTCGAAAATTTCCAAGAAGCCAACGCATAACTCGGAAACCAATAGAGCTACAGCGCCGCGGAAAAGCGCATTTGATAGCACTTTTAACGCCCTTTCTGAGTAATTTTCTCAGATTTGACCTAACGTCAACGGTTTTGCCTGCAGGGGGCAAAAACTGCAAAAATAGCCGATTTTTTCGAAAACAGTTTTTATGCAATAACTTTTGACCCAAGCCCTGTACGAGCTTACTTTTACCGGCATAGTGTTCCTCTCGTCAAGACGCATCGAATGAACTATAACTTGACCTTGAAAGGTCAACTTGAAAATTTGACCTCAGGTCAAGGTCATGACCTGACCGGAAAGGGTCATGTTGCATATCAGTCGATCCGTATCGTCGAGCTGAACACATCTAAGGTGTTTTCATCGCTATAGCATGCCTCTATCAAAAGTTATTTGCGAAAAACTGTTAGATACTATTCGTGACCTAAGATGACCTCAGGGCATACACAAGGGTCACGGACACCATTTTCATGTTCAGTGTGTCTAAACCACTTGTAATTCGGTGTTTGGGAGTGTTTATAATGTCTTTCGTCCAAAAGAGGCGCATTTCAATTTTCTCCCATTGACTTATAATGGGAGGTCGCAAAATTGACCTGACCTTAGGTCATCGTTATCAAAATTCTGAGATATACATTTTGTACATGCTATTGCTCTTAGCAATCGCTGAAAGTTTCAAAGCGATCGGTCACTCGGTGTAGCTATGACAGACATTGAAACTTTTTATGAGGTGAGGTCACTTCAAGTGACCTGGTGACCTGACCTTGAATGACCTTGGTCTGAAATTTTCACAACATGTGTAGAATTGATGTATGATAAGGTGTACGCCGTTTTTGAGATATTCGCGAAAAACCACAAGGGGGGGTGTTCAAACACCCCCCCCCCAGCAGGGCGCGCAAACACCCCCCCCCCCCCAGCAGGGCGCGGGTTAATGAGTGTAAGTGGCAAAAGGCCTGGTAGGATGGGCACGAGGAATGATCGAAATCAGCATAAAAATTATAAATAAGCCACACAGAGCGACCTATATAAGAGAAATTCCCCCAAAACGATCATGCTTAGAAACACGGAAGACAAAAACCACGCTCATGACGCTCCTTATGAAACAACGCTAAACAGCTAGCATCCAAATAAAATATGTCTTTCCGGGCTGATAAAATACAGCTGAATAATTTTAAACCACTGAAACTGAGTTTACAACAGTAGTTCGGTAAAATCACTGACGTTCCACGCGGTCGTGCGTCCCGACACCAAAAGTCAACAATATTACCTCGGGACTGTCCGCGTGTTCGCTTGCATATGTCAGCATTTAGTGTCGCTAGAATGAAACTTCATAACCAGGCGAAAATTATTATACTTGACCTCAAAATATAAAAAAAACGCTTCATTTTCCTTTAAATTGCATGTTAAATGTAGTATAACCCATGTTTTCACCATTCCGTCATTTCAAAAAATCATTAAAAATATCATTCGACGGTCAATTTCCTTGTTCAACGGTCAGATTAAAGGTAGTGTGCCAGCTTTCTTGGACCGTATGGAGTTAATGGCCCAGATAAGGAGAACCGGATTTTTAGAACTTATCCATACCTTCAAAACTCATGGAAACGTCTTAAATTCTTCAAATTTTGAGTACCCCAGTGCGAAATTCGCCCCGACGGGTTGTCGGTCGTACCCCAACCACATTTCACACCACTATGAACAATAAATGCACACACTGAAATCGCTATTACCGATATGCTCATCCAATCAAATTTCGATAAACCCGTTCATCATCATCTCCTGCGGTTTCGAACACGCCTGTTAGGTGGCTTCTGATGCTCGTCGAGGTCGGAATTTCCAAATACGCGTGGTGCGTCGGGCCGCGCGCTCTGACTTCGGCCAAGAAAAATGCGTCAGCTGATCATTGTCATTTCTGCCACTTGCGTGTGGTGAAATGGGGTCATAACTTATAAGACGGCTTTTTCATATCAATTATTTTACATAAAATCATATTTCAAACCATAAATAATGTTCGACAGCCAAATAACAGAAACAATACCAATACGGGCTTACAGTTTAAGGCTCGACATTGTGTTGTCTACGATTAGACAGCTGATAACTCATTCCCGTACGTCGTATGGTCGTAACACTATAATGACCTTTGCTTATTGTCACAAGTGCGCCGCATTCGCGATTGTTGCCCGACGCCTGTTTGCAGGTGAGCCCACTACAGTTGTTATGCATATCTAAAAACCGAAAAACTTTTAGGCGAAAAAGGCACTATTCCAGGCCCATTTTTGATTTTTTTTTGCGATATTAGGTAAAAACAGAAGCTTCTTATCCTAGGAAAAATAAAATGGGAAATCTTTCAAAGGTGGCACACTACCTTTAAAGATAATTTTATAGAGATTTAGTAGATACTTAAATTAGCGTGCACTTTTTTGAGACGTGATGCACTTATGAGTTTTAGTGGGCGAACGGCCGAAAAATTACCTTCCGTTCTCATAAATGGGAACGCCCGTTCCCATATTTGGGAACTCCGCTCCCAAAAATGGGAACGTTCCTATATTTGGGTACTCATGACCATAGTTCCACCTACTGTAATCGATTGTCGTATATAAAAAGACGCATGTGAAACAGTTCTATTTACTTCACTTTCATATTTTTTGCAATAAATAATCAATTCATCGATTCGCGCTTCAGAAGCGCCATTCGCCAACAATAGGTATAGTATAACTCAAAAACTGGATGCTGAGAACAATGCAAGAAAATACCTGACTCTTTGTACATATACTTATTCAAACAAGCTGAAGCTGTTCTTTCCGTCCAGGTTAATGTTTATGAGTCTGTACGGATGTGCCACAGTGGCATACAATGGTATCAACTACCTGTTGAGCTCAGCTGCACCAACAAGCCCTCGCTCGTTGTGATAGGGAAATACCGTGAGTCATTGCATCGTGATGGCAGCACGAGCACATTGTTTCCCCTGCCGGCTCCGACAGACGCAGCACGTGCCTCGGCGTTAGTCCCTCGGTTCTCGCCAAGCTCGACAAAATAGCTATAGGCATGGAAAAACCCACACAAGTTTTTAGTCTATATGCTTGTAATAAAAAGTTGCAGGAATCAAAATGTTATTGTTGATTGTACAGGAATAAAACTAAAAAGGTGTATTGTAATTTGAGTTTTAATACCAAGCTGTTAAAAAGTTTAAGAATCCTTGATATTTTCGCATTTCTCCAGCTCCGGTTCAGTATACCCATTCCTACTCCTATTCTAGTACCTATTCTTAATCTAGCCTCAGCTTTAACTTTCAGCAATAAACTTTCACATCAAACATGAAAATAATTATTTCGTCTTCGAAAACAAGAACAATGCAACCGCATGACGGGACGGCGGACGCCGACAACGCAGCCGGACAAAACACTTGCTGCGGATCGGAAACTGATCCTTGTAATCCGAATCTCGCTTCGTGCCACAAGAAGAACGAGGCAATATGAGGAGGAGCTTGGGAGAGAGAGAGAGAGAGAGAGAGAGAGAGAGAGAGAGAGAGAGAGAGAGAGAGAGAGAGAGAGAGAGAGAGAGAGAGAGAGGAGGAGAGGGAGAGAGAGAGAGAGAGAGAGAGAGAGAGAGAGAGAGAGAGAGAGAGAGAGAGAGAGAGAGAGAGAGAGAGAGAGAGAGAGAGAGAGAGAGAGAGAGAGAGAGAGAGAGAGAGAGAGAGAGAGAGAGAGAGAGAGAAGGAGAGAGAGAGAGAGGGAGCGGAGGGAGAGGGAGAGAGAGAGAGAGAGAGAGGGGGGAGAGGAGAGAGCCTGGACGCCTACGTTATAGCCATTGGATTTGGGACTGGAGCCTTTGGGAGCCCTCACCGCTGACCGCCTGCTCGGGACACTTTCCGTAGGTGCTGCCATCTACAGACCACACCGCAAACTAAGGCTCTCGCAAGTAGCGGGTAGGGCAGCAGACTCGGCTCGTGAGTTTCCCTAAATAATTTTGTTCAAAGTAAGCTGTAAAATTACGTAACAAATTTAATCGAGTTTATCGCTTTGAATTGAATGTCACACTGATAGTTTTAAGTCGGATGCGTTTCTATATTATGAAGTAAACCGATCACAATTACTTTTACGAAAATTGTTATAAATGAGTCACTTTTACCATGAATTTGATAACACTGTGTTATGCAGCTGGGATTTTGGCTCAGGTTTCAACAGCAGATGACCCTTCAGGTAAGGTGGGGGGAGGGATAGGTGCTCCTAATCTGGTCCTATCTATTGTCTGCTTACTTCCTCTGATGATATTAAAACCTAATATTTGAGAGCAACTTATATAGCGGACTTAATCATGTACGTTTGCTCAAAATATGATGAATAAATATAAAAATTGTTGCAACTTTCCTGATTTGGCTATAGTTATGAGATAACAAAGCTCAGCTTGCTTGCTTTGAAGTTACTGTTGAAATAAAAAATATTGATGGTTATAAAGAAAATGATAAATTAGGGCTTCGATTTTCTATCATGCATGAGGTATCCGAAACGATTAACCGGCTTTTATATTCGCAACTACGATAAGCACGACTTAAGCGAATAAAACTACAAATATATCAACTAGGTAATTGTCATATTTGAGCCAGCTATACGAGACTTATATTGAGTACCGCACAAGTCGATAAACAACTGCCGCATTTAGATAGAAATTGATTGTCGAATCGCGCATGTATCCAAGTTTCCAGTTTTTCGCTCTTTAGCGTACCTATACGCGGATGATATTCTAAAGCCTGTCACAAAAGTGGCTATAATGGTCACGTAACAAGCAATTCAAAATGCGGTGCCACCGAGGTGACCTATGTATATGCAAACGCATTGATGCTTCTTAATGTAAAGAGATGGGTTTAATAGACACGGTGACAACAATTGAAGTAAATATATCTAAGACTTCGATGTAAGCAACGGGGAACTCATGAACCCAGAGCTGAGACAGACCCACCTAGGTACTTACATCAAGCATCAAGAGAAACCCATGGTTTTCCAATAACAGCATTGCGTCTCAAACAGCTAAGCGGCGCAGTCGATTTTCCAGCCGTCCTGGAGGGAATCAGCGCTGACGCCAGCAGTCGCGGCTCTCCCGACCAGAAGCGGGACAGCGAGGTGACGGTGCTGCGCCAGGGGGTGCCTGCCGGTCCGCTGCTGCTGGTGGGACCTGCCGGAGACCCTGCCGGCGGTGTGCAGCTGGTGCAGGACTCCCTGGAGCCGCTGCTGCTGCCGCCGGTGGTAGACGTGTTTCCCGACGTGCCGGACCGCGTGGGCGACACGCCGCTCCAAGTACAGACGGTGATTGAGGCCGAGCCTGCCGACGACGACGAGCCGCTCGACGTGCCCTGGGTGTGGGACGACAAGGTGTGCTCGCCTCTGCTCAACCGCGCGCCGCCGCCGGCAGGTGGGTGCGGGAGCGCTGCACAGAGGCAGGGCGGAGAGGGAAGTGCGGCATCCTGGTAGGGCGGTGAGGGGAGCGCTGCACCTCGGCAGGGGGCGGAGAGGGGACCGCTGCACAGAGGTAGGGTGGCGGTCCAGGAGCGCTGCACAGAGGCATGGGACGGTTAGGGTGTCGGTCCGGCGGTGAGACCTGCAGTAAGCGTGTAGGGAGGGTGTTGAGGCTGTAGTTATCGCAGCCTGCGGTCCCCTGATGAATGGGTATCCGAGGAGTAGTGATCCCCCACCGGGGCGGAAAATTGACTTCTAAGAACACGGGACTGACGGAAAATAATGAGTTCGGTGTCAGCCTCCTGTCTTTGTTCGCTACAATAAGGGTGTCGCGTGTTTCCTAGCTGTGATCTGCGCTGTCTGCCATGCTTTGGTGCAAGATGTCAATCATAATTGAGAACAAATGTTAAATGCCGGGATTTCCAGAAACCAAGCACATAACAGGCTAATTTATGATGCATAGCAGCAGCAGATCATCAACTTTATTTACATACCTCAATCATTCAGGAACTGACTGCTGCATTCACCACAGCGACCATCTCCTTTTGAGCAGTCACCGGTGGTAACCACTAACCTTCCCAGTGATACTTTGTCGTATTCTGCAGTCCATGACCCTCAGAAGGTCAGAGTCAAAGCTGCATATCTATGGCTGAATGTTGATAGTTAGAGCACGGGCGTTTTTCACAATTCAAAGTCCAAACCTTCGGGCCACAGCGCTCCTCGAAAAGCGCTGCCCTCGAGTTAGAGTACCCATCAGTGATTTGGCACTCTACCATCTCAAATGATAAACTTCCTCCTTTGCGATCTGAATAACTCGACCAACACTCGTCTATTTACCTGTGGGGTGACCCTCAGCAGCGTCGGTGCCCGTCCATCTCCTTGGCTTTCCTGTCCTTGACGGTTTTTCCCGGTGGCCGCCGGCAGGTCCTTTGACCACCGAGCAGGTCACCTTCGCGTTGCCGCTGGTTGTGCGCGAGAGGAACCGGCTCAAACTGAAAACTCGCTCCGGCGCCGTGTCGCCCCTGCATAGTGATGAGGTGAGGGGTGAGGCAGTCCCGGGGGTGGCCACACCGGGCGGGACCGAGACGGGTACACGCCGGGATTGTACCGGATCCACGCAGCAGACGGTAAGGGTCTCGCCGGCACATCACAAGGTAAACTCACAAAAGTTCCGTGTCGTGCACGGTGAACACAGTGCAGTCATGCGATCTTTGTGGTGAATGAATGATCTATTTCGAACGGTCCTGATGGTCACGCGTTTGTAACCGAGCACCCATTTGACGGGCGGTTTGTCATTATTTCTAAGAAACAGGTACTGATCAGTGTACACAATTCCGGACGACAATGAGTACTAAAAATGTAGTTCTTGCAGGAGCCTAACGGTTTTAGGTCTGAACACGCGAGCGAAGGTAGTTAGCTTTATCAATAACTGCTACACTTTGTACATCAAGCATTTCCACTTATGCTGTGGCTGGTTGACGCTTTGTGTCTTGTTTTACATGCTTGGTGGCAACTAGCAATGTTTTGTAATGTTAGCTGTTCTACAATTCGCTTCAATTTCGCAGATTTATTTCAAGTGAGTTATTCCCCGTTTTATACCAAATGTCGTTGTGCGGTCAGGCGGCGTCTACCTTCGAGAAGCTATTTTGGTGTATCACCGCCCTGATTGCCCGGGTTCGCGAGCCGGAGGAACGCACCCGGCTCATGAAGAAACTGTACCAGGACTACCTGCTCTGGATGGAGAGAGATGTGAGTGTGTAAGGATGCATGTGAAAATGAGTGCCAGGGTCAACGGTGCGTTTACAACTGCGTTTTTACTGCACTTTGGTAAAGCCATTTAGTTAGTAAATACCCAGTCTGTGCCAATGTAAAGCAAGAAACTTCTTTATGAAGTTTTGATGACAAATAATATCAGGTAGATACGCTTCAATAATGAAGGTGCCGATGCATGCAGATTGCAGAAGTTGCCTTTTGAGGCATTTGCGTACTTAACTTTGACAGAAGTTAAAGAAAACGCAGATTTATTGGTTGTAGGAAATAGGAATAGCATGTATTATGTATAGGCATACTCTCGCGTTTTACAGAAAGTAGTCTTCATAATGCATATGTTCAATGTTTTCAGGTAATTCCCGTTTTTAATAGAACGGACCTTCGACGGGCCTACAAATGGATAAAAAGGAAAGACGACTCCCAGTGGGTCGTTCCCGAGAAAAGTAAGGAAGCTTGAGCGCTTTGACCGGCCCAGCCAAAAAGTCCAGTGGCCATCTGTCATATCCACAATCCACAATCCACATACATGATGGACGACTGATCCGTGATCATGGTTTGGAATGCAACGGTTTTCATGTGTGTAAATTTCGTCACACGCATTTCTGATTAATTATCTAATACTAATCACCAATATTTTGTGGATGCATTATAATCCATTATCGTGCCTGACGACTACCGGTAAGACACACATGAGTTCACTACTCCGATCATAATTTCTGCACTACTCTACTGACAGAGTATTATGACTCTGCTAACAAGAAATCGCCACATGCAGAAAGGCAGACTGCTGGGGATGATAAAGGCGGCGACGGCAACAAGACGGGGCTCATCATCTTCATCTTGATCCTCATTATCGTCATCATTATCATCTTGTACTGCTGCATCGTGAAGAAAAAGAAGCTATTCAACCTCTGGTGTTTTTGTGTCTGCGAGCGCTGCAGGAAAGGGTAAGACGGCATTGGCATTTCTGAAGATGATTAGTTAAATTATCCCACATATAAGCCCTTTTCACGATGGGTTATTTCGAGATCAGTTTAAGTAGCAAACGTTTGATTTAACATGGGGGATGAATCGACCTGAGCATTACGAATACGAAAGATACAACAGCAAAATTATGAATGCCCATTAACTCATTGAGTAGAAATATTGCAAAAATACTGTGTACCCAACGCTGCCTATCATATGTGTTTTGTCTATTGGCTATGATCTAACACACTGTATCTTCTAGCCAGGGAGGAAAGAACCACGAAGAGGAGCGAAGACCACTCGCAGCGAATAAAAGTAAGAGCGCTACAATTAAAAGCAGCCAAAATGATCAGGTGAATAGGTTCATAAATCTTTCCATTTATTCAAGAGATTCTAGTAATTTTTCCTGATTTCTTCATCAATATGTCATTTTTATCTTTCCCTAGTTTCCATTTTTTGTCTTTCTCAATCTTCCGTTTTTACCTTTCCTACAATCACCTTATCTTTCACATTATATGTGAAAGATAAGGTGATTGAAAGATAAGGTGAAAGATAAGGTGAAAGATATACATCTGCTGCTAGCTATTGGAATGAGCAGACGTGTTTAGCAGTGCTCTAGTTTACTGCCTATTTTGGCGTAATGGACCCGCATAATGACTTTGAGATAAGCATGAAACGAATCTTAATTTAACGTAGAATATTTTGGTGGTATTTGCAGTTGAGTTGAATGGTGAAATAATTGAATTATAGGCTTTAAAAAAAATGATTATTTTGACCCAGTTTTGAAATTTTAGACTCACCACCGCGTTAGTTCTGCTCTAGATTTTTAGTAGTAAGTCTCGTGCTAGTTCTGAAGAGAGATCCTTATAGCCAATAATGTCAGACTCTGACACCTCGGTTAGTGGCTACGATCAAACAGTGGGAGAATGGGTTGTGGCGAAAAAGACCAAACGGAGCAGGATAAGCAAGGCAAAAATCGTAGCATCAACGATTACGGACGCTGAAGAAACTGTACCGAAGAGCATTTTTTGTCCTACCTCTCCTCTCACCAATCAGCCTACCGCGACCCCCGAACAGCTGACGAGTGCGACTAACTCTACGCATACCGGCGAGAATGACGACAAAGCATCCCACGACAGGGTGGCGACGAGCGCGAGGGCGCCGACCCTGGACCAGCTGATCCCCACTAGTGCGACGTCAGCCGACAAGAAACGTCTAATCGCTGAGTCGGATTGCATTTTCAGTGGGCGCTACGACCCAGCTGCGGTGTGCTGTATCATGGCATCCATGGACGAACCCGACCTGAGAGAGCTCAGAGAACTGCTGCATGCTGCGCTGTCTGCGGTCATCCCGGCTGTCGCCGGCCGTCCTCTCTGCCGCCGTGTTACCGGCAACTTGGCTGGCCTAGCGGATGACTGCTGGACCTTGGGCTACTCGGCGGCTCAAGGTATGCTGACACAGCGTGCTAATGCTGCCACTCTGAAGCCAGCGGGTCGCAATCCCCTGCCACCCCCCGGTCCCACCCGGAGCGCGCCCTCGGACTCTGCTATGTCGTGCCCCAGCGCGATAACTTCGTCACTCGAGGCGATCATATCCACCCAGCTGCGAATGGAGAATGAAATTAGGGAACTTCACGCTCGTCAAGCTACCCAGGATGCTTACAAAACTCGTCTGAAACAGCTGGAACTGGAAATAACTGGTCTCCGCAGAGAATGTGCTGCTAGAGATGACACGATTGATCAGCTGAAGGTCCTTGTAGAGGGGCTGCTAGCCCGTGAGGGCCCACAGCCACGCCGGCCAGTCACCCCTGGATTACAGGTGCAGCCGGGGCGACATGACAGCGATGCGAGGTCCGCTGCTAATGATGCTACTGTTGTAACTGAAGAGGCTCACTCTGACCGCACCGCCGCCCGCGAGATTGCCGCCAACTTGGATCTGCGTGCCCTGGGTGAGGCGATCGCTGGTGCCCTGCATTGGCGGGTCGGCGATTCAGACAGTGAGCCAGAGCAGCAGAACACGCATACCGTGTCTGAGCGTAGGACAGCGCAGCCCGCGAACCACAGTCAAGCAGCAGTGCCGACTGCGGCACCGACTAGCGACACGTCTGCCGCGGCTCCAGGCGGCCCGACACGGCGACAGGGCATGGTGACCGGCTCTGGTCCCCCATCGGCTCTGATTCAGGAGCCGCCTCGTCAAGAATCTCGGAAGGAGAAGTTCATCCTGGAGGGCTTCCGTGTGGATGTTGCTGACAGTGACGTGCGGAGTCTGGTCTGGACGGTTGTTCGCAATCTCCATGATTTCCAAAGGGTGTCACGCCGCGGTCCTGCTGCCTCTGTAAGCAAGGCGTTCAAGATTGAGGTTGATGCTGAGGACACCGATCGTATATTGGACCCGTCCAGCTGGCCGACTGGCCTGGTTGTGCGCCTTTTACCTCACCCTGTGAACACTGGGCGCCGAGGACAGCGTTTTCGCCGTCCTGCGGCCCCATCTGGAAGATCACAGACGACCCGGAGTGCTGCAAAAAGAACTGAACATGGCAATGCTAACTGGCAGGCGACGGCCCCGCGCCGTTACAGTGATGTGGTCAGAGGCATTGAACACTGTGACACTGCCTGGACGGCGGCCGCCCAACGCCGGGACGAAGATGAGACCCGCCGGGAAGCAGTCACCTCACAGCGCTCCAGAGCCCCGAACAGAGACTGCACTCACCGCGTCGGTACATCTAGCGCGGTCGACGCTGTCGGCGGCGACGGAAGTAACGCCACACATGATGACGGTGGCTGGGAAGAGGAAAGGCCGCGCCGTTATGGACCATTCGTGCCAGCTAGATACCATGGACACCAAGATGACAATGCATGGGTGTCAACCTATCAGCGCCGTGATGGAGACGGACACTGGGCAACAGCCGCCTCTCACCGCCCAGGCGCCCCTAGTCGAGGCAGCGAACAGGACGCCGGCGCTCCCTGGGTTCCAGCTGCCTCCCGTCACGTCAGAGGAGGCGCCACACACGGTGGCAACGGCTGGAGGGCGACTGCTTCGCAATGTGACGGATCCGGATACCGTGGGTGGCCCTATCAGCGCGCACGAGAGGCCACCTCCTGGGAATAGCGCCCAGATGGCTACTCCTGGGGGCCATCCCTGTCCTGCTGCCACCGCTGTGAAGCATGACAGAGCGGAGTGCCGTAATTCTGTGGACGCAAAAGTAACTCTGAACATGAGCCTCACTCTGGGCACTTATAACTGCGAAGGATTTCTCGCAGGAGCGCAGTATATCGCCGACTGTCTAATACCTGAATGTGATATCTTATTTTTATGCGAAACCTGGCTAGCCCGTGCCCAGGGTGCTTATCTGGAGCATGCACTCTCCTCTCTAAGTTCCGAAGAATTTCAGGTATTTCAAGAATTCGCCATGGAACTACCACCAGGGACTGGAGATGGCAGACCCCACGGTGGCGTGGCTTTTGTTTGCCGCCGTCAAGCGGGGCGCACATTTCGCGCTGTAGAGTGTAATGATTCTCGTATCTGTGGAGTTACGATTGTGGAGCTGAGCCGTCCTCTTATAACGATAATTGGCTGCTACATGCCGTACTGGAATTCATCTGCCGTAAATTTTGAAGAGTACACAATCCTGACGGGGAAGCTTGATGCATTATTCTCTTCGCTAAGACCCTCAGCTCCAGTGGTGCTTGTAGGCGATTTTAACTGTGCTCTGCCACCACTGTCACCAGAACTGCGCCCACCGGGCTGGCACCGTCTTCGGGGTTTCTCTCCGCTGAGTCTTCTAATGCAAGACTTATTGGACGACCACGGACTGACAGTCGCCGAGTTCCGGTTCTCGCAACCAGTGGCGTACACCTATGCTCGAGCTGACGGCCAATCGCACATCGATCACATCGCTGTACCGCAATGTCTGGTGCCTCAAGTTCATGATTGTCGCATCGTAGTCCCCTGTGTGGACAACCTGAGCCCACATCTTCCGGTCCTTTGCAGCGTGGTGCTGCCGTCTGCTTCAGCTGGCACCAGTCTCGATGTCTCCAGCCCTCCACTGAATATGGGTTCCATCCATTCAGAAGTACTAGATTGGAGTTGTCCAGAAAAACTGCAGATATATTTGTCTTCTCTGGACGAGCTTATTGGTGCTTGTCAGCTCACCAACGGTGCCACCCCGGATGAGATTGACGAAGCAATTACACGATGCATACATACCGCTGCGCGAATCGCCGGATGCTCCAAGTCGCGACGTCCCCCGAAGCCCTGGTGGTCGCCTGATGTGGCAGTGGCGCGGGATCGCACTCGTTTCTGGCATCAGATATGGGTAAACTGTGGCCGTCCTACCCTCTCAGCAGTGGCACAGTGCTATCAGGCTGCAAGATCTGCTTACCGTCACGCCCGCAGACGTGCAGCAGTGACGCGGATCGAGAGCGAGGCCCACACTCTCCGACTGCTCCGCCGTGACAAAAATCTGACAGCCTTCTGGCGACGTGTGCAACAGATACGGCGTAATGGACTCAAGTCGGCCTCTGATCTATCCGCCGCCGACTTCCGCACCCACTTCCAGACTGTGCACCAAGATAGTCACAGGCAACTGACTCTGGACCAGCTCCAAATTGCTGAACATGTAGATTCTCGACTAAGGAGAATCCGTAACGATGCATCCGAAAGAACGGTTTCAGCTGGACAAGTAGCAGGCCTCATTCACCGGTTACAGCGTGGGAAGGCACCTGGTATAGACGGCATCACGGCGGAGCACCTTCTCTATGGTCAGTCGCCTTGTCTCCTGTCAGCCCTGGCGCACCTTCTCTCTGTCTGCCTGTCCACGTGTAGCGTGCCAGCTACCTTCGCTGACAGCGTTATTGTACCCGTGTTGAAGAAATCTCAATCGGACCCTAACTGCTTGGACAACTATCGACCGATTTCAATCACAACCTGCGCATCTAAGCTGCTCGAGCTGTTAGTGCTAGACGAACTGAACGCCTCATTTGAACCTCATCATCTGCAGTTTGGTTTTATCTCCAATCGGGGCACCATGCAAGCGTCTCTGTTGGCTGGAGAGACCATACAGCAGAATCGAGCCAGGGGTCTTCCTGTTTTTGTCGCAAACCTTGACGCGAGGAAATGCTTTGACCGAATATGGCATGACGGTCTGTTCTTCCGTCTGGAAGATTATCTTAGCGACCACTGCTGGTGCCTCATGGTCACCTGGTACCGCCACCTCTCTGCAAGGGTGACTTTTGGTGGCGCCACATCTGAAGCGTTCCTGGTCTGCAGGGGCACCAGACAAGGGGCCATCTTATCGCCAACCCTTGCAAACATCTTCCTCTTACCTCTTATTGAGGTCCTAGATCGCAGCGGTCGTGGAGCATATCTACACAGCCAGCACGTACCCGCTATCTGCTACGCTGACGATATTCTCCTTATATCTGCGAACGCGCGTGACCTCGGTGCAATGCTGCAGATGGTGGGAGAATTCGCGGCTACTTGGCGCCTCGACTTCGTTCACCCTGAACCGGGAAAAACCAAGAGCCATTGTATTATATTTGGACAGGAACTATTCACGAGCACACCGAGGTGGACACTGTCAGGACAGCAGCTGCAGATCCGGCAGACGACCGAGCACCTCGGTACGGTGCTTGATGACAACCTCAGCACAGACAGCCACGTGGCTCAGCGCATCAGGCGTGCTTGTGCATCATTCTATGGCCTCACACCCCTGGGCAATTTCACCAACCGCCTGACTGCTGCTGACAAAATCTTCCTCTGGAAGACAGTAGTGCTGCCGGCACTGATCTTCGGCTGTGAGACGGCTCCCCTCAGTTCCGCCGACATTGAGCGTCTAGACTCGCGACAGGCTTCGCTGATCAAGGCAGCGCTGGGTCTGCCGCGTTCTGCGCACCATACGGCTCTTTTGATTGCTGCTGGGGTGCCTCGCATCGGTGAGGTGCTGCGAGGTGATGCCCTTCGCGCATTCCGTAATGCTTTCCGCGCTGACCACCGTCTTCGCCAAGCCTACGTCACTGGACTGGCCAGACTTGCTACGTACCCCGAGCAGTTGGATGGGTCGTTTATTGGCCACGTATATAATCTGTGTGGTGGGAATTTCGCCACTATCATGCACATCGCTGCTGGGTACGTCGATCACGACATAGTCCGGGCACCACTCCAAGAAAGCGGTCTTATAGACAGTTTGAAGATGGTTTTGGCAAGCAACTGTCAGGCCTCGCGGCGCCTGTTAAGACTACTAACCTCCTGAGTTCTGATTAACTGTGTGTGTGGGTGGGTGGGGGGTGGGGGGGGTATGTATCTTTTTGTCGCATGACGATGCTGAATAAACAATAATAATAATAATAATAATAATAATATATCGAAACAGTGTCCACCAACTGCGTACACAGCAAACACCTTGACAACCCTGAATGCTCGGAAGTGTTCTTTATTTGGCCAACCTTTGCCAGTGACTAGCTGCTGCAGCTTTCAGGCAGAGATATAGTTCTGGAAACTGTGAGGGGACTCGGGGTATCTCCCCTTCATGGCATCAGTTGACCGCGTAAACCGCGGACAAATTATCGGTGTCGGCAAATAATGCACCTGCAGCGACCCCAGCTGACTGGTGATGATAAGATAATTCTGTAGAAGTGGCTGACAAGGGAGTGGTTTGGAAAAACGTGGTCAAAGTACAAGAGTAGGTACTATGTCCGAGTATACCAGTGATGACGATGATTGGAAATTTGTATTGTTAGCGTATATCTGCACTGCAAGCAAGGCTGGATTTATCCCAAAAATTTCCCGATACGGTAGACTTCCTTGTTATCAAAGCCTTTGTGTTGCCAATTTGACCATTATCCTCCAATAGTTGTTAGGAATACGGCAGAGAAAGACAGTTGACACAGTGCGTTGTCTATGTATAACTCCTTACGTCACGTCATAACCAGCATTTTCAGGCCACTGCAGGGCAACAACACAGGCTTTGTTCCAATCATTGGCTGGTGTTCTTTATTAGCAAGCAAAACAATAAACAATGGACCTTTAACTGAGGAAGGCTAGAAGCTCAATCTCACAATAGGTGCACAAGTACCTTTATAACCATACAATGTTCAATAAGATACCTACCATATATAAGCAGTAAGCATTGCTACTCATCTACATACATGACACGGAACGTTATCTATGAAAATAAAGTTTTTTGCGTCTGTCTCACCTTCCAGACGGCTCGCCGGGGGGCCTGGACGGTCCAAAGAACACCTACGTATACCGGAGCAGCAGCTGGAGCAGCAACTCATCCCTGCAGCCGCCCTGTCCTCCGCCCGACCCGTGCGACCCGCCTCGACCCTCATCGCCGTGCCCCTAGCGCCGACCGGACGACCCTGGCAACCAGCGGCGGCTTTCCTCTCCGTGCCCCTGACGCCGGCCGGACGATCCGTGCGACCCACCGCGACGGCTATCTCCCTGTTCGTAGCGCCGCCGATGGCATCACGAGAGGGTCAATAACCGCCTGTGGGACGACCCACGATTCTCTGAACCGAGTCCACGACCGCCCGACCCTCACCACCCCGCTGATTTGCTTATCGGAGTGGGAGAGCCCTGAGATGGAGCGACTCTGTGCCCTCACGTGGCACGCTGTAGATATCGACAATAAACACGATCGGATGCCTAATTTTTTTGTCTGATATTGCTACCCAATAGGAGACTAAACCATTTTAGTGATGCAGCCAGGGGCGCGGGAATTACTTTCAGACTGGGACCGGGGGCACACCATAAAAGAGATCAATCTAAAGTACCCCAAAATCTAGTTTTCTCACCGGTTATAGGCCACTTACTTTTCATCCCTTAGCTTTTTCAACAACAAAAAACATTTACAAAAAGTGCGGTATTCCGTCTCAAAGTTGTGGGGGTACCGCCCCCACGGCCCCAGAGTTGGAGGGGGGGGGGGACAAGCTGCTCTCACTACCAGGAAACCAGGGGGGGGCCCCCCGACCCTGGTTTCCGCGTCTATGGGTGCAGCCGTACATAAATCAAAAACTGATAGCTTCTTGGTATATCTGACGATTTTATGCTCAATTTCCTCTACATGTATTTGAATTATATTAGTTATGAACATAGCTACATCTTCATTGCCTTTTTTGACTGAGCTGTTCTGACAAAACTAGCGGTGAGAAGTCCAAGCAATGTGTCACATACCTATGCTCGTATTATAGCGTCATAGCATTTTTTCCCATCAGCGCGCGTGTTGCATATTGGATGACCTTCCAGAAAACACTGGGGTGAAACCATGTGGTGCAACAGTCAGCCTATTCTCACTCATACAACTCACTCAACAGTCAACCTACTCTCACTATATCAGTTCCCGAGATATGTAGAGTATAAGGTTGGAAATGACGCTATGCTATTAGCATGCATTTTTGAACGTCGATTCATTTACCACCATTGCATATTCATGAAAGAGAGAGGCTAACCTGGTATAATTGTATCGCTAGGACTGGCAGCTTCATAACGCTAATTTTATAAAGCTTCATACCACCTGATTATTAACCCGCGCCCTGCTGGGGGGGTGTTTGAACACCCCCCCTTGTGGTTTTTTGCGAATATCTCAAAAACGGCGGCGCGGAGCGCCGCCGTTTTTGGTACACCTTATCATACATCAATTCTACACATGTTGTGAAAATTTCAGACCAAGGTCATTCAAGGTCAGGTCACCAGGTCACTTGAAGTGACCTCACCTCATAAAAAGTTTCAATGTCTGCCATAGCTACACCGAGTGACCGATCGCTTTGAAACTTTCAGCGATTAATAAGGGTAACAGTATCTATCAAATGTATGTCTTGGAATTTTGATATCGGTGACCTAAGGTCAGGTCAATTTTGCGACCTCCCCATTATAAGTCAATGGGAGAAAATTGAAATGCGCCTCTTTTGGACGAAAGACATTATAAACACTCCCAAACACTGAATTACAAGTGGTTTAGACACACTGAACATGAAAATGGTGTCCGTGACCCCTGTTTATGCCCTGAGGTCATCTTAGGTCACGAATGGTATCTAACAGTTTTTCGCAAATAACTTTTGCTAGAGGCATGCTAGAGCGATGAAAACGCCTTAGATGTGTTCAGCTCGACGATACGGATCGACTGATATGCAACATGACCCTTTCCGGTCAGGTCATGACCTTGACCTGAGGTCAAATTTTCAAGTTGACCTTTCAAGGTCAAATTATAGTTCATTCGATGCGTCTTGACGAGAGGAACACGATGCCGGTAAAAGTAAGCTCGTACAAGGCTTGGGTCAAAAGTTATTGCAGAAAAACTGTTTCCGAAAAAATCGGCTATTTTGTAGTTTTTGCCCCCTGCAGGCAAAACCGTTGACGATAGGTCAAATCTGAGAGAATTACTCAGAAAGGGCGTTAATAGGGCTATCGAATGCGCTTTTCCGCGGTGCTGTAGCTCTATTGGTTCCCGAGTTATGCGTTGGCTTCCTGGAAATTGTCGACATTCGACCTGAAAATCGGCGAAATTTTGCCTTCAATGACCTCTGGTGACCTGACCTTTGACCTGACCAAAAAATTGACCGAAGTGATTTCGTCATTATTTTTGGCGCTCTTTCGAACGCCGCCTTCCGCGTTTCGCTACGTGGCCCAGGAGCCGAGTTAGAAGGGGGGGGGGGTGTTCAAACACCCCCCCCCCCCCAGCAGGGCGTGGAAATCCAGGACCCCCAGCCGGGCGCGGGTTAATATACCAGATCGGCTTAGCTTTTACCTATTTTTTAGAGGTTTTCTTTTGCAGAGCGTGATTAGAAAATAACCATTTAAACAACATTTAAGAGCTAAAGCCCGTCTGTCATGCCACCACGATTAATGCACTACTGATTCGAATCGTAGGGAAGGAAGAGGATGGCCTTCAAGTGACGTTAACCGAAAGAGGTAAGACAGAAGGGAATGACAAGCATCCCAACGTACTGACATGTGGAGAGGAAAACCGACTTCAGAGCTGACCACAGCTTTCCGTGGCTGTGCTGGGGCCCGTTGCATCAGCTGGAACTCTGACGCCAGAAAATCACAGCATAACGATAAGCATAACGCGGCAGCCCGCAGTCGACAAGCAAACGAGGTTCAGCAGCAGAATAAAATGTACCGTATACGGAATCTGGAGAAAAAAGGAAAAAAATATCGCATTTTTAGTTCAAACTTCATCCTCTTATTGCTTCCTAATTGTGCTTTGTTTGTTTCGTAGGGTTAGGCCCTTTCGGTCTAACGAGCCCTTTTCAGAAACGAAAGGCTGATATAAGAATTAGGGAGCGACATCGGTCTGCGCGGCTACCCCTGGTGCGCCGCCGGGGCTGAGTCCGTCACTGGACAAGCCAACCAGCCTACAGCCCTGAGCGACGGCCGTCTTTGCTCACTAACAACATCCAACTTGAGGCAATGAAAGCAGAAAGACTTCAGATTGGGAAAAAAAAACAATGGAACTCATGTTCATATCCCACGAGCAGGCCTGGGGCAGCTGGGAGGGGAGGGAGGGGGTCGGTGATGGGATTTAGTTTATAGATATTTTATACGCATAAAATAAGCCTTGAAATCGAATGCGCCAACATACCTCAATCCTCAGCGTCGAAACAGTCGCGCCATAGCCGTGCCGCGGTCTGTAGTATAGGCATGATTCAACAGATGACAGCACTAGTCCCGTCGAGAGCTGGCTGCCGAGAGCATTCAGTGAGCCTGACTCTCCGCTGCTTAGGACAATACGCTTTTTTGTAGCTGTCGCTTACTGCTGCCAAACATAAGGTCAATGGATTGACTGAAGGGAGGGACGATGAGAAGAAGAAGGGGATGTTCATTGTTCAGTTACAAGATAGTCCTGTCGCTACCTTCTTTCAGCTGTTTTATTAGATACGATCACATTTTTCCAAGAGTTCGCCAAATCAGAGAGTGAGTGACCTAAAGGTAGTTACATATTTGGTGTTCATTGAGCTCAAAAAACAATTAAAGTTACCTAGGAAAACGTTATGTTATCAGCTTTCTCATGTCTGCCTACGTCCGTTATCGATATCACAATCTTTACGACAAGGTAAATTAGAGCTTCACTTGCGCGATACGCGTATGTGACATCCTCGTTTTCACAGCAATAACTACTAGACTGTAACATTTATGGGCTACGCAAGAAAGCATGTCGCCTTACTAGGACCAGGGGAGGTCTGGGACAAGGGAGAGAGCTTTAGAGAGACGGGAGCGCAAACACCACTTCAAAGGCCCCGAATAATCTCCCAAGTCGGTGTGGATTGTCCTCCCAAGCGGCCGGGGTCAATCAGCCAAATCAACAGCTCTGTTGGTATTCGACCCGACACCAATGCTGAGTGGACACTACAGTAACGCAATGTGAAAGTGAGGGTCTGCCAGTGGGGCAAACACCTGCCGTGGAGGGCTGGGGAGCCCGCTGCAGGCCTCCGGTCACCACCGGTGGACGGTTGCGAGAGGCGATGTTCCGGTTCACTGGGTTTGCGCTGCCCACTGCATCTGTTGGACGGTGATGGGGGCGCGGGGCACATCGAGCAGCCCCCGGCCACGAGACGTACCGAGAACTGACGTCACTGGCACAGAGCGATGGTCCAGTATTAGCATGCTTCTCGGCGTGGTTGGGCAAGGCCGCGCCTTGCGCAGTTGCACATTGCAGATGCTGTAGTGATTGCTAGAATAATTTATGGCAGCTTAAGTATGGCAGCTTCTGGAGAATTGATTTCGGTCCTTACACAGTAACACTTGGATGCGCATGGAGCCTTTTGAATATGGAGTCCAGCTTTATATTTCCTTATCAAGGCACGACCGCTCACTCCCAATAATAAACCACATTTTGTTTTGTAAACTCGCACATTCATATGCTTTTTACGCACAAAAAGGTTCATCCAAGTTAACCCTCGCATGTGTAGGGGGGGGGGGGTCGGATGGACCCCCCCCCCATGGTTTTTCGGGAATAACTCGCGTAAAAAGCGGCCGATCGCGATGAAACTTTCAGTACCCTCGCATTGATCAATTTTACACCTACCCTGAAAATTTCATGACCCTGACCCAAATGACCTTTGACCTGTGACCTCTTTTCCGAGACCATGTTTGGCCGGAATCGCGATTTCGCGTATGTCGGCTCGCACTAGCCGCGTGTTTGCAAGCTTTTCGTGGTTTCAAACGTTCAAACATGTGATTTGATGTTACTCCCGTGTGTGTCAAGGTCACCTGAAGGTCAGGTCAGGTCATTGACCTTTGGTGACCTCGGGTGACCTCGGGTCACTTTTTCGAGTTTTACATGTTTCTAGGCTAGTTTTTGGAGCTGAATTCGAATTTAGCAACCATTTGAACATTTACGAAGTAGTTTTGGTGACTTCGTAACATGTTACGAAGCTGTCAGAGGCGGTTGACACGTACTACGAATACCCGTCACGACGCCTACTGGTTGACCTGACCTGACCTGACCCGACCTGGTCTAAATGCTTCAAGACATCATCTGTGATCAAAACTAACACGATATTCGTGATCAGCACCCCGAAAAACCCCTTAGCAGCCACACTTTACGACTTTCTAACAGGTCCCGATTTTCCCGACTTTGGGTCATTGACCTGACCTGGAAGGTCAACCAATGACCTAGGACCTTAAAATTGGGTATCATCGGCTTCCTCT